CTATGTGGGCCCTACCAAGTGTTTTTTTTTTTTTTTTTTTTTTTTTTTTTTTTTGTGGGGAGAGGTTTTTGCTATAGGGTGTGTGTGCTCGCCAGAAGAACAGAGAGAGACAGAGAGACAGAAAGTGAGAAATCACCCCCCGGGGGGGGATGGCCATGCTGCAATCCCTTCTCCTCCACTCTCCTCTTGGGATCTTGGGCACACACACACACACGTGCCCGCTGTGAGTTTAAGCCACCAGGTCCGGGACTCCAACAGTGGTCGACTACATGAGAGTTCAGCAACATAGCCATTACGCTAACTGAGAGATTTTGGGTTTTTATCCTTGAATGTTTTTGTAAAGAAGTGGGCAGCAGAAACCCTGCTTAGGAATATTCATCTATAGAATAGCTGAGACATAAGTAGATTACTAAAAAAGATGCTGAGATAGTCAAAGTGAGAGGTAGTACATACCCCCGTCATTAACTGTAGTTAGTCCAGCAGCAAATTGTCTTGCCCTTTCTCCCCACCAAGCAGATGCTGGTCTGACTTCCAATGCAACTGATATTCAAGACAATTTCGTCCCATGATAGTCATAGTTATAATATAAATGATTTTTTTTATTTGGAGTGTTGTCTTCCTTTGACTTTTAGATGTGGCCTTTATAGGAGAGATGAGATGTGTAAGAGTGGAGTTACTCACTTGTCCAGAAATTAATGGCCACAAATCAAATGCAAGGTGATTCTGGAAATATGCTTGGTTTGAGCAGTTATCAATGCCAAACATTGGAGAAGGGGACGAGGGAGTTACAGAGAAAGCAGAGGAATATTTCCTGACATCTGGATATTTATTATCTAATAAGAAATAGATATTCTATTATGAAGCCAACAGGGAAAAAAAAAAAAGACACAGCAACAAAGATAAATATTTAGCCAGCTTGGACTAGATACCAGTTCTAAAACAATGGGGAAAACAACATAAACCAATATTTGTAAAAAAAGGATCCTAATAATGTCTTTGTAATTTTTTTTTAAAGAGTAGAGAAGAGTTGAAATAAAGGTACATTTTTTACAACTAAACACAGGTCAGAGAAAGAAGAGAAGGATTCAGAAATGAAAAAAACTGACTAAATACGCAGAACCTAGTAATATTAATATTTTCAAAGAATTAAATTTGGGTGTTGCTTTGTGCTTTCTTCATATCAGCTGAAAATGTTTTTTAAAACATCATTTAAGGGTCCAAAAGCAAACACTTCAAATGTTTCATCATGGGGATTCAGTTTAAGAGAAATGAGCGAGCTTCAAAAAGGTTTTAAAAATGTATATTTTAAAAAACATTCTATTCAAACAGATTTCAATTATTTTTCACTCAAATAAATTCAAAATTTAATTGCATCTCTCCATGAACTTTCTGTAGCCTGCTTGTGTTCCTAACTGGCCTGTTTTAGATCTCAGAATCAGTTTAACTGACTACAGAAAGGAGTGAAGCAAATTTTAGTGAATGATCAGTATCCTAATTCCAAGATGTTCTTTATCCTCCTTTTTACCTTCACAGATGACATGGCTAATGACCAGTGGGAATCAGACAGTGGTGACTGAGTTTTTCTTTTCCATGTTCCCACGTTTGCATGAAGGTGGTCTCTTATATTTTATTCCACTGCTTCTCATTTATGGATTTATCATAACTGGAAACCTAGTGATATTCATTGTCGTCCAGTTGGACCCAGCCCTGCACACCCCCATGTATTTCTTCATCAGTGTCCTCTCCTTCCTGGAGATCTGGTATACCACGACCACCATCCCCAAGATGCTCTACAACCTAGTCAGCGAGCTGAAGACCATCTCCCTGGTGGGCTGCCTCATGCAGATGTACTTCTTCCACTCGCTTGGCATCACAGAAGGCTGTATCCTGACAGCAATGGCCATCGACAGGTACATAGCTATCTGTAATCCCCTCCGTTACCCAACCCTCATGACTCCCAAACTTTGTATCCAACTGACAGCTGGATCCTGCATTTGTGGCTTTCTCCTTGTGCTCCCTGAGATAGTATGGATTGCCACTCTGCCTTTCTGTGGTTCCAACCAGATCCACCAGATATTCTGTGACTTCACACCTGTGTTGAGCTTGGCCTGCACAGATACAACTCTGGTGGTCATCGTGGATGCTATTCACGCCGTGGAGATCCTGGCGTCCTTCCTGGTCATTGCCCTGTCCTACATCCGGATCATCATGGTGATCTTGGGGATGCCCTCAGCTGAGGGCCGTCACAAGGCCTTTTCCACCTGCGCTGCCCACCTTGCTGTATTCTTGCTGTTTTTTGGCAGCGTGGCTCTTATGTATTTGCGATTCTCAGCCACCTACTCAGTGTTTTGGGACACAGTGATTGCTGTCACTTTTGTTATCCTTGCTCCCTTCCTCAACCCCATCATCTACAGCCTCAGAAATAAGGACATGAAAAATGCTATTGGAAGGCTTTTCCATTATCAGAAAACGGCTGCTGTGGCTGGGAAATAGATTCATCCTGGAGACTAGAAAGCTTCTTGGAAGTTCATGTGTTCACTGTTTCTTGTCTTGTCCATGAGTGTGCTCTTTCTCTATTGCTATATTATTTGCTCTATTACTAATAACAAGAATAATAAACTGCTGTGTCCAGATCATTGTTAATAGTATATGGCTTGAGTACATCAGTGTTCCTTACAGGATTGCAGCAGCCGAAGTTTGTGGATTCTCCTCTTGTAACACAGTTGGCCTCCTGCTCACACAGCCCCAGCTGGGCTTCTGCTCTTCTCCTCTGTGATCCCACATTCCAGTGGGACCTGGGTAAGATAGGAAAAGTGATGACAGACAAGATATTCTCTTTTTCCTTTTCTTTTCTTTTCTTTTCTTTTCTTTTCTTTTCTTTTCTTTTCTTTTCTTTTCTTTTCTTTTGAATGTTTTTCTTTTCTCTTTTCTTTTCTTTTCTTTTCTTTTTTCTTTTCTTTTCTTTTCTTTCCTTTTTTTTTTTTTGAGAGGTTTTTGCTATAGAGCGAATGTGCTTGCCAGACAGACAGAAAGAGACAGAGAGACAGAAAGTGAGAAATCACCCCCTAGGGGGGTGGCCACTTTTCTTTTCTTTTCTTTTCTTTTCTTTTCTTTTCTTTTCTTTTCTTTTCTTTTCTTTTCTTTTCTTTTCTTTTCTTTTCTTTTCTTTTCTTTTCTTTTCTTTTCTTTTCTTTTCTTTTCTTTTCTTTTCTTTTCTTTTCTTTTCTTTTCTCTTTTCTTTTCTTTTCTTTTCTTTTTTCTTTTCTTTTCTTTTCTTTCCTTTTTTTTTTTTTGAGAGGTTTTTGCTATAGAGCGAATGTGCTTGCCAGACAGACAGAAAGAGACAGAGAGACAGAAAGTGAGAAATCACCCCCTAGGGGGGTGGCCACGCCACAATCCCTTCTCCTCCATTCTCCTCTTGGGATCTTGGGCATGCACGCACACGTGCCCGGTGTGAGTTTTAAGCTACTGGGTCTGGGACTCAAACTGCCATCGACTACGTGGGAGTCCAGCGATATAACCATTATGCCAACTGCTGATCCCCAGACAAGATAGTTCTGAAAATTCCCACTGTTAGCTTTCACCAGTTCTTTTCCAGCAACAAATCTCCTTTCAGTCCCTACCCCATGTAAATGAACAGTTTCTTGATACTTGTAGCTAATTGAGACTGAAAATTTCAATCAGCAAGCAAGAACTGATTCTGTAAATGTTGTACTACAGAATTTTAGGCCCAATGGGATTTCCCCAAAATTAACAGCAACAGTACTCCTATTATTTCTCTAGTATGCTATTATTTAAAATATTTTTATATATATGAATCCTTTTGAAATTTAAACTACCTTGAAGTAAGTAGGTTCACCATCACTTGCATCTATTTATTTATTTGAGAAAGAGAAGAGAGAGAAACATCAAGAGAGATGGGCCCTTCCAATAAGATTTCATCGTGTCTTGATCCTCCTGCCAGTTGGTTTGCCAGCAGGTTAGGCTTATGGTGCATATCTCTGCACCTGACCTTTGTAGGTTGGCTCAGGCATCAAACCTGGGCTTCCCATGTGGTCCCAGCTTCACAGTGCCTGGACCATATCACCATTATTTACTAAAACTAAAGCTTAAAGAAGTTTAATGACTTGCTTCAGTTCTTCTGGATAGAGCTGAGATTTAATCTTAGGTACTCTTCTGCATTCTCTGTCCCCAGGACATACACTATTTTGTTTAATCTACTTGATACTAAAACAAACAAACAGAAACAAAAAACAAATTCTTGAAAGTTTCATGAAAAATGAGCAGTTCTCAGTATGTCTTAGGAGTCTCTGGTTCTTTCCTCTGTGAATTTCTCAGCCTTCAGGTAATTGTGGCCCCATGAAAAGACTGTTGGATTAAGATATTCAAGGATCAGATTTTTTCATACCTTTTTCTGCCATTAACTTATGCCATTTTCGATTCTCCATTAAATCCTTTGGCCTCCAGTGTCATGTTCTACAACTGTGATTGACTTATATCAATCTTTTCCCAAACTGGTGGATCATCAGAACTTACAAGTTAGAAAATATGAAAGTAGGGGTCAGCAGGTTGTATAATGATTAAGATGCTGAACTCCCACATAGTTGATGGTGGTTTGAATCCCAGACCTGGAGGTTTGAAAATCATACTAAGTGCATGTGCACGTATACCCAAAATTCCAAAAGGAAAATAGAGGAGAAAGGATTGCAGTGCGGCCATTACCTCCGGAAGGTGTTTTCTCACATTCCCTCTCACTCTTTCTCTGTCTCTCTCTGGTGAGTGCATGTGCCCTATTGCAAAAATATTTAAAAATAAAAATATGAAAGTGAAGCCCAGGTATTTGCATTTCTGAAAATCTCCCAAGAAAATTCTGAAGACGAGTAAGATTTGTGAACAGCTAAGTCAGAAGGCTATTAAAGTCTTTCTATTCCTAAGGGGTCTTTGATACTCATAAAAGCTAGCTTTTTAAAAACAATTTCTGAATCGATAACAAGGACTTTGCATGTATTATCTCATTTATCATCAAAAACTTTTTTATTTAGATAAGAATCAGTAAACAACGAGTTCAATAACTGGCCCAAGTATACCAAGTTAATTGTCAGGAATTTAGAGCAGAAACCCAACCCTGTCTGGTGCCAGAGCCAGGATTTTTTTTTTTTTTAAGATTTTTGCCATAGGGTATGTGTGCTCACTAGAAAGAGACACAGAGAGAGAAAAGGTGAAAACTCATTCCTAGGGGGCATGGCCATGCCACAATCCCTTCTCCTCCACTCTTGGTTCTTAGGCACGTACACACAGGCCCAGAGAGGTTTTCAAGCCACCAGGTCCAGGATTCAGGTCATGATATAGGCCATTTTAACAGCAAAATAAATAAATAGAAAGGGTGATTCAGCACCTTAACAGTCATGCTACCTGCTGACTGGAACCAGTTCTTTATTGGTTCATGATCTCATTGTATCTTTTTCACAGATCTTTCACCTTAACCAAGAAAACTGAGAAGGGTTCCAAAGATAATTAAGTATTTAGTGACTAAGTGTTATAATTATTTATTATGCATAAAATGGTGAAAGGGCTTACTCTGCTAGTCTTCATGACTGATTTATATTTTTAAAAAGTCAGAATAATGGGACCAGCAATTGGTGTAATGGCTGTGTCACTCGATTGCCATGTAGTCAACCATGGTTTGAATCCTGGACCCAGTGGCTTAAACTCACACTGGGTGCATGTTCATGTGTGCCCAAGATCCCGAGAGAAGAATGGGAGCAGAAGGAATTGTGGTGTGGCCATCCCCCCGGGAGGTGATTTCTCACTGTCTGTCTCTATGTCTGTTTCTGTCTTACCCTATGCCCCCTATACAAAAACTTTCTAAAAAAAAAAAAAAAATCAGAGTAATAACTCTACACCAAACACTCTGTTAGGTGCAGAAGATTCACCTGGAGATTATCAAATGAACACTCTTGGCCTTTGAAGGCCTCGAGGCTAATGAATATTTGCTGTTCTTATTAATAAGAATGTCATTATCCATCAAATTTACTGTTTTCCTTGTCATGAAATACTATGATCCTTACAGCCTCATTGTTCCCAGCCCTTAGGACATTTTATTTCTTCTAAATCTCCCAGGGTTTATTTTTGTGTTTTAAACATCTTTAAATACATAACTTTTTGGTCCTCTCCTCTCTCTCTCCAAACCCTTCATGTTGATTCTTTTCACAATTATATACTTAACCTTGAAGGCTGAAGCTCAGAAATGATTTTTAATACTGCTGATCTTGCTTCTCAAACTTGCTCCAAATTACTGCAATCTTCAAGAAAGGTTCCTCTCACTAATATCCCTGGCCCTAATGTCAAGACCAATAGCAGCCTTCATTTTGATGTGATTTATTTTTTGTCTTTCTATTTATTTATTTTGCTGTTAAAGCTGTTTTGTTGGCCCCGTATCTCCCATTAGACTAAGAATTTGCACTGAGAGCAAGAATAAATCTTCCT